TTTTTTAGTCATATCCTTAAAAAATAATTTGTGCTGCTACTTCATTCTTTTAATGATTAAAAAATAGTGGAGCCCTGGCCCGGTAGCATCGTCCTGTACACCAAAAAGGTTGCAGGTTCAATCCCCAGTCAGGGCACACAGCTAGGTTGTGGGTTGGACCTCCCCCCTGTCAGGGCACCCACAGGAGGCAACCGATCAATGTTTCTCTCTTACATTGATGTTTCTCTCTTTCTCCCTTCCTCTCTCTTAAATCAGTACACATCCCCTCAGGTGAGAATTTAAAAGAGAGAGAAAAGAAAAAACAGTTGATTCTACATCTTTAGAAATTGCATGGTTTTATTTTAAGATGATAGGATGTGAATGATCAGAAGTGTGTGATGTATTGTTTTCTAGGAGTTTCTTTTGAATTGTTTACATCGAGATCTGCAGGGTGGGATAAAGGATTTATCTAAAGAAGAAAGATTATGGGAAGTACAAAGAATTTTGACAGCCCTCAAAAGAAAACTCAGAGAAGCTAAAAGACAAGTGAGTGCATTTATTATTTTTGGTACGTTATGTTTATAATAAAATATAAAAAGAATGTGCTAGGATCTTTCATATACTCTTTTAAGTTATTTCTTTTAAAAATACAATATATACACATTTCTTGAAGCGAAGGTCCTGATGGGAAATTTATTTGTTTAGAAGTTCCCAGTTTTAAATTACTGATTCTTCAGCTTGGCATCAGAGAAATGTTTCATTTGAACAAATTATTTTACTAAAAGATGTTTTGTCATTTCGTGGTTGGTTGTACCTGTAAAAGGAGCTTCCTAAGCATGAGAAGCAGTTGGAGAGTGATACTTTTCACTGGGGAATTTGAGTCAGATATTTGGAAACACATGGAGGTACTAAAGATCAGGAGGTATTTTCTTTACCTAGGAATAGGAAGAGTGGCATGTGACTCCTGATAAGTGTGGGTACGTGAGTCAGACTTTGGATCTCCCCTGTAGTTTAGTGTATGTTGCTTGGCTCTGGGACTGAGTTTCCCAGCCACACCAAGGCTGAGTCGAAATTTCTGGACCATCTTACAACCCACATGCCAATTCAATGGCAGGATCCAAATAACACTGCCAAAGAACATTAGCATTTATCAGACTGGGAGAGCATGATTGCTGGTGGGTTGCCATTGTGGTTGTGCCAAAAGACAAAAGACAACCCAAGAACTTTATTGCTTTGAGGCTAGAGATTTACATTTATGTGGAGGATAGCTTTGTCAGAAAAGAAACACTCAGTAATTTCACTTACATGTGGAATCTAAATAACAAAATAAATGAACAAACAAAACAGAAACAGACTCATAGATGTAGAGAACAAACTGATGGTTGCCAGAAGGGAGGAGGTTGGGGGACTGGGTGAAAAAGGTGAAGGAATTAAGAAGTACAAATTGACAGTTACATAGGAGTCATGGGGATGTAAAGTATAGTATAGGGAATATAATCAGTAATATTGTAATGACTATGTATGCTGCCAAGTGGGTACTTGATTTATCGGGGGATCACTTTGTAAATTATATAATCGTGTAACGACTATGCTGTACACCTGGAACTAATATGAAATAATATTGAAAGTAAACTGTGATTGAAAAAGAGAAACATTCATGAACATTTTTACACATGAACTCCAGGACTAGCCGAAGCCCTCTGTGTATTTCTCTTCCTTCTTTTCTCCTGTTTACCAGATTATCTTATTTTTATTTTGCTTCCTATGCCTATTGTTATTGTTGTTATTCCCCTCATGGTTCAACCTAGAATCGGGTTTTAGATGACCAGCCGATCCTCATGGTTGCAATTGTTAACCCAGGTAGCATTGTCCATGTCTTTAAATGAAGGGCCTCTGCCTTAGAATAGAACTAATGTAGGTTTGGCTTTTATTTCTCTTGCTTCTACATATTTCTTGGATAAAGGAATCATGATATAAAGCAGAGTCAATAATAGAAAGGAATGGATTACCATTATCAGTTTTTCTTGATGTTAACTTACCATGCCTGCTCATTAATACACAAAATACTCAAAGATTCTATCAAGTGTTTTTCAACTTTAAGGAATAAATGACTTAAAGATAAAAGTAAATAATCCTATATAATAAAAGGGTAATATGCAAATTGACCCTAACAGACCTATTTGGGAATGGCTGGTCGCTATGACATATACTGACCACCTGGGGCAGACGCTCAACACAGGAGCTGCCCCCTGTTGGTCAGTGTGCTCCCACGGGGAGCTCTGCTGAGCCACAAGTTGGGCTGACAGCTGCGAGCACAGGGCTCCCAGGCTGCCAGAGGGATGTCTGACTGCCAGCTTAGGCCTGATCCCCCAGGGAGCTGGCCTAAGCTGGCAGGTGGACATCCCCCGAGGGCTCCTGGGCTGTGAGAGGGCGCAGGCTCTGCTAAGGGACCCCTCTGAGTGCAGGAATTTTCATGCACTGGGCCTCTAGTTCATTATATTAATGGATTAAAAATAAGAAAAACCACAAAATCACATCAACAGAACAGAAAACCATTTGACAAAATCCAACACTTACTCATGGTAAAAAAAACAAAAACCTCAGCAAACAACTTTCTTAACCTGATAAAAGGTGCATCTGTGAAAAATTCCATGACTAATGTGCCTAATAGTAAAACTCTAAATGCTTTCTCCTAAAATTGGGTGTATAAGGCAAGGATTTCTGCTCTTGCCACTTGTACTCAACATCATACTGGAGGTTGTTCAGGCCAGTGCAACAAAGCAAGAAAAAATAAAAAAGGATACAGATTGGAGAGAACTAAGTGTATGTATATGACATGATCACCTATCTATAAAATCCTAAGGAATCTATAAAAAACTAATAAGTGAGGCCCTGGCCTGGTAGCTCAGTGAGTTTTAGAGTGTCATCCCAATACACCAAGATTGTGGGTTCAATCCCTGGTCGGGGCACATACAAGATTCAACCAAAGAATGCATAAGTAAGTGGAACAACAAATCAGTGTTTCTCTCTCCTCACCCTTCCTCTCAAAAATCAATCAATCAATCAATAAAACCCCCCAAAAACTAACAAGTGAATTTAGCAAAAGTTGTAGGATATAAGCAAAGTTGTAGGATATAAGATCAGATATACAACAGCCTATTGTATTTCTGTATATTAGCAGTGGACAATTAGATATTGAACCTAAATAGAAAAAAGATCTAAATAACATAGAGCCGTATATCTCAATATTGTTAAGATGTTAGGTTTTCTCAAATTGATCTGTGGATTCAATAAAAATCTAAACAGGTGGCTTTGTAGAAATTAACAAGTTCTTCTAAAATGTATATGGAAATACAAAAGACCTAGAGTAGTGTAAACAAAAACATTAGAGGACTCGCACTACCTGATTTTAAGACTTACTATGAAGCTACAGTAATCAAGGATAGACATATAGAATAGAATGTCATAAATAGACCCACACATATAAGGGCAATTAATTTTCAACGAAGATGACAATTCAGTGGGAGAAAAAGTTTCTCTTCAACAAATGGTGCTGAAACAATTGGATCTTTATATGCAAAGAAGAACCTTTCATTAAAAACTACAGGCCTGGTGCATGAAAATTCGTGCACGGGGGTGTGGGGGGTCCCTCAGCCAGGCCTGCCCCCTCTCACAGTCCAGGAGCACTCAGGGGATGACCTACTGACAACTTAGGCCCGCTCCCTCTGTGGAAGGCCACTGGGTGATCAGGGGAAGGCACAGCCCCCATCACCGTGCTGCTGCTGCCACTGCTGGCCCTCGATCCTTGCTTCTTAGCACTGGCCCCAGGCCAGCTGGAGGAGGGGCTGTGGGAGGTTGAGGCACAGCAGGCCACACCCTGTCCAGCCTCTGCAGAGGCGTGGCACTGGGACTGGCCCAAGCCGCGCCTCTGTGGCTGCCTCTGCGGAAGGGGCAGCACTGGAACCGGGATCACGCAGCCCCCTCTCCCACTGCCTCTGCAGAAGGGGCCGTGACGCTGGACCGGCCTGGGCAGAGGACTCTCCCGTGCCAACTCTGAGAAATTGGCTGTGTCCCCACCCTCTCGTGCGGCCTCACCCTCTCATGCGGCACCGGGCTCTCCTGCGACCTCTGTGAAAGGGGCCACAGTACTGGGCCAGCCTGCGCTGCCGCCTCCTGCACTGCTGGCGCTCGGCCCTCGCAGCTGCTTTGGCTTTGGAAGAACGTCTGGTCTAATTAGCCTATTGCCCTTTTATTAGTATAGATCAGTGATGGCGAACCTATGACACGTGTGTCAGAGGTGACATGTGAACTCATTTTTTTGGTTGATTTTTCTTTGTTAAATGGCATTTAAATATATAAAATAAATATCAAAAATATAAATCTTTGTTTTACTATGGTTGCAAATATCAAAAAATTTCTATATGTGACACGGCACCAGAGTTAAGTTAGGGTTTTTCAAAAATGCTGACACGCCGAGCTCAAAAGGTTCGCCATCACTGGTATAGATGAATCATACACTAAGACAGCGGTTCTCAACCTGTGGGTCGCGACCCCTTTGGCGGTTGAACGACCCTTTCACAGGGGTCACCTAAGACCATCCTGCATATCAGATATTTACGTTACGATTCATAACAGTAGCAACATTACAGTTATGAAGTAGCAACGAAAATAATTTTATGGTTGGGTCATAACATGAGGAACTGTATTTAAAGGGCCAGAAGGTTGAGAACCACTGAACTAAGATCTAAAGAAAACTTCTAGGAGAAAACACAGATCTACTGACTTGCTTAGGTAGTGATTTGTTAAATAGGACTCTAAAAGAAAAATTTGATAAATTACATTTCACCAAAATTTTAAAACTTCAAAAGACACTGTTAAGAAAGTGAATATACAAGCCAGAAGCTGTGTCAAAATGTTTGCAAAAAACACATATCTGATAGAGGACTTGAATGAAAATCTATTTTAAAAAACCCTCTTACAACTAAATAGGAAGACAAAACAGTTCATTTTTTTTTTTTTTCAGATTTTATTTTTCTAGAGTAGTTTTAGGTTCACAGCAAAATGTGAGGAAGGTACAGAGAGTTTGCATATATCCCCTCCCCAACACATGTGTAGCCTCTGCCATTCTCAGTATCCCTCACCAGAGTGGTATATTTATTACATTAACAATTCAATTTTAAATAGGCAAAAATTTGAATAGGCAGTTCACCAAAGATGATATACAGATGGCAAATAAGCATGTGCAAAGATGTTCCACATCATTGGTTATTAAGGAAATACAAATTAAAACCACAATGACATAACACTACACAACAACCAGAATGGCTAAAATTAAAAAAACCAAGTGTTGACAAGAATATGGAGCAACTGATACTCATATTGCTCTTGATAGTACAAAAATAGTACAGTAATTTTGGAAAACAGTTTGGCAGTTTCTTAGAGTTAAATGTATGATTGTCATATAACCCAGCAATCCCACTTGTGGTTATTTAAGAAAGCGTATACCCACACAGAGCTTTTACAAAATGTTCATAACAGTTCTAGTTATAATCGGTCAAACTAGGAAGGACCCAGATGTTCATCAGCTGGTGAATGGATAAACAAATCGGGGTACATTCACATCATGGCATATTATCCAGCAAACTCCTGATACAAACAACAAAATAGAATTGTTAAAAACATTATGCTAAGTGAAAGAAGCCAGATAAAACAGACTACTGATTGATTCAATTTATATGAAACTCAAGAAAAAGCAAAACTATAGCAGTGGGAAGCAGATCAGTGGTTGCCAGGGACAACAGATGGTGGAAGAACCCAAGGGTATTTTGTGTGGTGATAGAACTGTTCTATATTATGATTGTGGTGGTGGTTCCTTGGCTGTATACATTTGTTAAAACTAATCGAATTGTATGCTTAAAATCCTCTACCAAAAAAAGTACCACAGAAGACAATTTGTGTGAAAGGGTTCTGGAAATGGTGAGCACATTAGCCAGAATTGCACATTTTCACACTGTAGCTACAGGTTAAGATCCACATGTTATTTTTCAGTTAACATTTCCTGTTAACAAATGTCCATTTATCCAGATGGTTCCTCTGACTGTTAATGTTATTTTTTTCAATTCTAGGAAATGAGAAGGAAACTTCTAGAATGGTAATGGTGTGATTTGTTGAATATGTGTTACATATAGGCTGACCAGTTTTGTTTTTTTTCATTTGTCTTACTTGACAGGAGTGTGAAACCAAGATTGCACAAGAGATAGCCAGTCTTTCAAAAGAGGATGTTTCCAAAGAAGAAATGAATGAAAATGAAGAAGTTATAAATATTCTCCTTGCCCAGGTAAGTTAAACTCTTTTTCTCTGTTCTGCAAGCTTCCTTTTTAAAGAAAATTAAAATTGTATATATTTAAGGTATACAAAATGATGAGGTGGTAGACACAGTGAGATGGTTATTACAGTCAGGTTAATTAATATTATCGCCTCCCATTGTTAAGTTTTTCTTTAGTGATGAGAGTACCTGAAATTTACTCATAGTACATTTTCAATACTCAACACAGTATTATCCTATATAATGAAAGACTAATAATGCTAAGCGTCCAGTTGTCTGTTCAACCAATCAAAGTGTAATATGCTAAGGCCGCTCGCTATGATGTGCACTGACCACCAGGGAGCAGACAGTTGACCGGTCAAACAATCACTATGATGTGCCCTGACCACCAGGGGGCAGATGCTATGACTGGTAGGTTAGCTTGCTGCTGGCGTCTAGCCGATGGGAATGAGCGAGATGGGCCGGACGTGCCCTGAAGTCCCTCCCTGGCTGGCCAACCTCCTGTGTCATTCCCCGGCCCTGATCATGTACCAGTGGTGTCCCTTGGCCTGGCCTGCACCCTCTCACAATCTGGGACCCCTTGGGAGATGTTGGAGAGCCGGTTTCGGTCTGATCCCACAGGCCAGGCTGAGGGACCCCCCCACTGGTGTACAAATTCGTGCACCGGCCTCTAGTTAACTATAGTTATCATATCTGCACATGAGGTCTCTAGACTTACTCATCCTCTATAACTGCAACTTTGAATCCTTTGACCAACATCTCCCTATTTCCCCCACCTCTCAGAACCTTTCTACTCTATATTTCTTTGAGTTTTGACTTTTTTTTAGACCACATACTAGTATAAGTGAGATCATATAATAGTTGTCTTTCTCTGTCTGGCTTATTTTATTTAGCATGTCCTTTAGGTTCATTCATGTTGTCATAAATGGCAGGATTTCCTTCTTTGTCGTGGCTGAATAATATTCCTCTGTGTATGTGTGTGTACACACCACTTCTTGATCCATTTATGTGTTGCTGGTTGGGGTTTTTTTGTAGTTTGATTCTTATGAATAATGCTGCAGTGAATATGGGTGTGCATATATCTCTTCAGTATCTTGTTTTCATTTCCTTTGGATGTATATTTATAAATGGGATTACTGGAGTATGACTGTTCTATTTTTATTTTTTGAGGAACCTCCTGTTTTTCATAATGGCTGTACCAGCTTACATTCCCACCAACAGTGTACAGGGGTTCCTTTTTTCTGCGTCATAATCTGTGTAAGGTGATATCTCATTGTGGTTTTGATTTGCATTTCCCTGATGATGCGTGGCATTGAACATGTTTTCATAAATCTGTTGGCCATTTGTATATCTTTTGAGATGTTAGGTCCTTTGCCGACTTTTTAATTGGGTTGTTTTCTTTCTATTGAGTTGAGTTCCTTATGTATTTTGGATATAAAACCCTTATCACATGTATGGTTTTCAAATATATTCTATTTATAGGTTGTCTCTTCACTGTTGGGGGAAAAAAAGCTTTGCTATGCAGAAACCTTTTATTTGATGCAATTCCATCTATTTTTGTTTGTTGCTTGTGTTTTTGGGGTCCTATCTAAAAAAATTAATTGTCCACACCAATGTCAAGGAACTCTTTCCTGTGTTTTCTTTCAATAGTTTTATGGTTTCAGGTCTTAGATTGAAATCTTTAATCCATACTGAGTTGATTTTTTTTATATGGAGTGAGATAAGGGGTCTGATTTCATTCTTTTGCATGAGGAAAACCAGATTACCAATCTAATTTCTTGAAAAGATTGTTCTTTCCCCATTAGGTGTTTCTGGCACCTTAGTCAAAGATTAATTGATCATAAATGTGTGGATTTATTCCTGGGCTCTCTATTCTGCTCCATTAGTCTAGATGTCTGGTTATATGCCAATGTCATAATGCTTTGATTATTATAACTATGTAGTATATTTTGAAATCAGGTAGTGTGATGCCTCTAACTTTATTCATTTTGTTTAAAATTGCTTTGGCTTTTTGTGGTTCTGTATGAATTTTAGAATTGTTTTTCTTTTTTTTTAAATGTTTTATTGATTTTTTTTACAGAGAGGAAGGGAGAGGGATAGAGAGTTAGAAACATCAATGAGAGAGAAACATCGATCAGCTGCCTCCTGCATACCCCCTACTGGGGATGTGCCTGCAACCAAGGCACATGCCCTTGACCAGAATCGAACCTGGGACCCTTCAGTCCGCAGGCCGACGCTCTATCCACTGAGCCAAACCGGTTAGGGCTAGAATTGTTTTTCTATTTCTGTGGAAAACACCATTGGAACTTTGATAGAGATTCATTGAATCTGTAGATTGCTTTGGGTAGTATGGGCATTTCAACAATATTATTTCTTCTGCCCTAGCTGGTTTGGTTCAGTGGATAGAGTGTCGGCCAACAGACTGAAGGGTCCCAGGTTCGATTCCAGTCAAGGGCACATGCCTGAGTTGCGGGCTCGATCCCCAGTAGGGGGTGTGCAGGAGGCAGCCAATCAATGACTCTCTTTCATCGATGTTTCTCTCTCTCTCTCTCTCCCTTCCTCTCTGAAATTAATAAAAATAGATTTTTAAAAAATATTTCTTCTGATCCATGAACATGGAACATTTTTCCCATTTGTATCTTCAAATTCTTTTATCAATGTTTAATAGCTTCAGTGTCTAGGCCTTTCACCTTGTTACATAAATTTATTCCAAGTATCTTTTGATGCTATTGTAAATGGAATTGTTTTCTTAATGTATTTTTCAGATGGTTTGTTGTTAGTGTATAGAAATGCAACTGATTTTGAATGTTGATTTTGTATCCTGCAGCTTTACTCTTTATTTATTAGCTTTAACAATTATTTGGTGGAGTCTTTAAGGGTTTTCTTTCTTTTTTATAAACTTTCTTAAAAAAATGTTTTTATTGATTTCAGAGAGAGGAAGGGAGAGGGAGAGAGAGATAGAAACATCGATGAGAATCATTGATCGGGTGCCTCCTGCATGCCCCCTACTGGGATCGAGCCTACAAGCCAGGCATATGCCGTGAATTGAACCTGCAACCTCCTGGTGCATGGGATGACTCTCAACCATCTGTGCCACACCAACCAGGCTTTAGGGTTTTCTACATATAAGATCATGACCATTTGCTTTTATTTTTATCAAATTTGGTTACCTTTTATTTTTTTTCTTATCTAATCATTTTGGCTAGGACTTCCAGTTGAATTTTGTCAACTGTTTTATTGCATCTATTGAGAGGATATGATTTTTATTCTTTATTCTGTAATGTGGAGCATCACATTTATTATGTTGAGCCATCCTCGTATCCCAGAAATAAATTCCACTTGATTATTCCATCTGATCTTTTTAATGTGTTAGTATGTTGTTGAGAATTTTTGCAGGGATATTGGCTTGTAATTTTCTTTTCTTATCGTGTCCTCGCCTGGCTCTTGGTATGAAGGTAATGTTGACCTTGTAAAATAAATTTAGGAGTGTTGCCTCCTCTTCAGTTTTCTGGAAGAGTTTGAGAAGGATTGACAATGCTTCTTTAAATGCTTGGTAGAATTCACCTGTGAAGCCCTCTCTTCTGGGTCTTTTTTGTTTGTCGGGAGATTTTTTATTACTGATTTAATCTCCTTATTCATTATTGGTCTGTTCAGATTTTCTGTTTCTTCATGATTCAGTCTTGGTAGATTTTATGTTTCAAGAACTTACCCATTTCTTCTAGGTTCTCCAATTTGTTGGTGTATAAATGTTCATAAGTCTCTTATGACCCTTTGTATTTCTGTGGTATCGTTTATAATTTTATTCATCTGGTAAGTTTTAGTATGTTGTGTTTCCATTTTAATTTGTCTCAATATATTATTTTGATTTCTTTGACTCATTGGTTATTCAGGAGTTGTATTTGTTATTGTATAATTTGAGAAGCTCATTTACAAAGGTGTAAGTTTTTTAAAAAAAATTTAATGTATTATTTATTTCAGACGGGAGGGGAGCGAGAGATAGAAACATCAATGATGAGAGAGAATCATTGATCAGCTGCCTCCTGCATGCCCCCTACTGGGGATCGAGCCTAAAACCCGGGCATACTAGTATGCCCTGACCCAGGAATTGAACCATAACCTCCTGGTTTGTTTGTTTTAGGTGGGTGCTCAACCACTGAGTCACATCAACTGGGCCAAAGGTGTAGTCTTTTAACCAAACTTTATTTTGAGGTTTTAGACTCTTGTCTGCTGTTTGCCCTACTTATTCAGGGTGCGGCAAAAGTAGGTGTATAGTTGTGAATATACGACACAGTTTATTCTTGTTCTATTGTTATTATTTACT